TAACAACAAGTAGACATCATTGTTTACGACTTCTTGTATTTCAAACTGAAAATGTTCCTGTATTATTTTTAAAAACCTTTTTTTTTTAATATTTCGCTCAAGTTGTTTGCAAGACAACACAAAAAAGTGAACTCACTATTCCGATGTTTTGTTCCAGGGGCGAAGACAGTCAGAGGAAGGAGGCGGTGTCTGATGAGATACTCATACACCAGAGATTACACCATGAACACATCGTTGCACTTATCAACACAATCTGTTACCAAGGTAACCAATTCATTTGCGCCTTAAGGCGTTTTTTTTGGGGGTGGGTGACTTTTCAACCCAAACCTTCTTCGTTAATGTAGGTAGCGAGAGAAAGAGAGAGAGAGAGAGAGAGAAAGAGGGAGAGAGAGAGAGAGATTATGTATTTATATGGGGCCCACTAATATTATTATATATTTCAATAAATATCAAGTGTTCTAAATCTGTTAGGAAGAACTGGCTTGGTGATGGAATTCTGTGAGAGCGGTAACCTAGAGACTTTACTCAGAGCTCATGATGCCAGATTTGTCAGTGAGTCCAACTCCAGGAAGTACCTGCGGCAGCTACACAGGTTTGATTCTTAGCACAATGTTACTAATCAGCTGCTCTGAAACTGTTTTTAGAACTTAAAACTACATTCTTAGCACGATTTTATACATCAGCGGTTCTAAAAAGGCAACAACAACAACAACAACAACAACAACAGTATATGAGACAGTCTAAGCTTAATTCTTACAACGTTTTGTAATTTAGTTCAATAAATTAGAGTTCACCGGAAACTGAGGTCAGGAGAGCCAAACGGCAAAACAAATGTCCCAAAAAGAGGCTTTACAGGTTTCGAGCGTTCACATCATTAAGATGGTGTCCTACGCTACCTGGGCAAAGGGAATAGAAATGTAGGCAACGACACTCTATTCTTTTTTTAAAGACAGATGTAGTAGTCCAACCAACATACATACAATATTTGACACATTTTATGGAATGTTTCCCTCAGCGCCCTGGAGTACATGCACCTCTCAGGCGTAGCTCACAGAGACATCTGCCCCCAGAACATCCTGATCACCAACGACAACACTGTGAAGATTGGTGACTTTAGTCACGCCGTGAACTTCTCCCCAGGCGATCACTTGTGTACCGATATAGTGGGAACTGTAGGCTACCAGGCAGGTGAAGAAATTGTTCCATTACATAACTTTGTTTATTTAAGCAGCCATTCTCTCCGAATATGATCACACTTAAGGCGCGTGGTGGTTGAGTGATTAAGCGCTGGCCTTTCGAACCTGGGGGTCTGGGTTCAAATCTCGGTGAAAACGGGGATTTTAATTTCGGGATTTTTATAGCGCCCCTGAGTCCACCCAACTCTAATGGGTACCTGACTTTAGTTGGGGGAAGTAAAGGCGGTTGTGCTGGCCACACGACACCCTGCTTGTTAACCGTTGACCATAGAGACAGATGTCCTTAATATCATCTGCCCCATAGATCTCATCATCGGAAAGGGGAAATTGTACTTTTTATAGTCACACTTTGGCTCATAGACGTTGCCATATACTCAATGATTGGTCTCGGTTTAAACAGCTTGCTTTGTTACCAACAATGAGTCACGCTCATGATTAAGTGACATAACTTTATAAAAAGCTTAAATATTAGATAAACTTTCATATTGTCAGCAGTGCAACCGAGTAGTGTGTAATAGAATTAAGGTGTCAATCTAAGTGGTCCTGCAGCAACAGGTTGTACTTAGGCTACTCCTACAATTTTCGAGAAGCTGAGAAGAAGAAGAAAAAAATCTGAGGGAAAAAAAAAGACAAAAAAAAAAGACATATTGTTTATATATTGAGCTTGTCGGAGTTCTCAGTTCAAAATATTTGACCAGATAGTCCTGCTCTCTGATTTACAACTAATATTATACCTCCAGCAGGGCCGGCCTTAGGTGATTGGAAGCTCTAGGCAAAGTGAATTTGGTGACCTCAAATGAAATTAAAAAAAAAAGAGACAATAAAAAACAAATTACGCAAATGATTAAAACTCCAGGCTGTCTACATCTCAAGCGACAAATTAACGAAGTTTATCTAGCGTTATTTCCGTTCTTAAGACTTAATAAACATTGAGTCGCAATTTTTTTTTCTGCCATTTTGATGCTTCCTAGTTTGCCTATACCTAAAGCCGGCCCTGCTCAATATTAAATCGCTTTCTAAAGGGGCCTTTCGATTCGGGAAACTGATTCAATGCTTTAACTGCTGGTTCATCTTATTTCCAACATTGTAATCTGCAGGCACCTGAGATGCTCCTCAAGCAGCAGTACCACCCACGACAGACGGACATGTGGTCACTCGGGGCTGTCCTCTTCACTATGGTCATCGGTCGACTTCCGTATGGACGAATCAAAACGGAAGATGAAGCCAGATCTCTTAAGCCTCTGGTGTTTCCTCCCCCTTCCGTACTAATACTCTCCTCTCAGGTAGGTGAAAGTAAAAAAAAAATCGAAGCAGGTCTACAATACAATATTAGTTTGCAATTGTAGTTTTGCCCCACAAGCAGGGCCAGCCTTATGCATAGGCAGGGCCAGCCTTATGCATAGGCAGGGCCGGCCCTAACAAATGCGTGGCCCAATGCGAAACGGATTGCGCGGGGCCCAGTCTGGGTAGGGATAAGCATAATAACGAAATTAAGATTTTGTATTATAAAATACATTAGTCTTTGCCGTTTTTTTTTTAATCGAGCGTAGGATTGGCACCCCCAAATTAACAATTCTGTCTATTTTTCGGGAGATTTTTATGAGTTCTCATATTTTAATAATTTCAGGAGGTTTTCAGGACTTGGTCGTGTGTTTTGCAATTACATGAGATTTCCTAAAAAACCAGGAGGCCGATGAAACCCTGTTATTATATATATCCTACATAATTTATAATGGTTTAGTTTAATAATTCACACCTAGAATTAGCGCGGGGCCTTGCAGTGGCATAAGGCCGGCCCTGTGCATAGGCAAACTATATAGCCGCCTACATGAGGTTCTCCGATTGGTGAAGGCCTCGCACAGGACTCTACATGATTTTTTTAAGAAAAGAAAAATTCAAGGAATAGCGAAACTTGTGCCCGGTGTTATTGTTGTACACTAGGTTTTAAATAAATTGCGTAATATTATTGTTTTCACTGTTTCTTTAGTATTTATTACTATTTAATTTGGGGCCACCAAATTCACTTCAGTCTTCACCTAGATCTAGAGTAGATTCTAGAGCTCCAATTATCTAAAGCTGGCCCTGCACACGGTTACCACAATCAGATACACCAGCTATTTTTGCACTTATCTACAAATTAATTTATTATTTCAACAATTTCCTTTGCTCTCCAGGTGAAAGAACTTTTGATTGGCATGCTTGCCTACGTGCCCAGTTCTCGTTACACTCTAAACCGTGTCAAGAACAGCGAATGGTTCAACATGGCGTCTGACCGAGTTCAAATCGGCAGCTTCTACCTCGTACGGCAGCCACAGAAAGTCTGCGATGGAGAAAGGGAAAGAGAAGTGAAGGCCGAGTATGAAATTTAAATATTTGTCTGCTGCATTGACTTCAAGTTGGCACGTATTCAGAAGCCCAAGAAATCAGCCTATTCTAATTCATACGAATCAATTCCATTTTCTAAGTTTCAAAACGGTGCTGTCATTATTTAACTACTTATAAATAAAATGTATAAATATGCATGCAGATTTATTAATTATTGACCCGTATTCTTTTTATTTTAACTATTCCATATCAGGATATTATTCTAAGGTAGATAATCATTAGTGGATAAATTGCTAGGCAAATTGTAAATATATATTTAATATATCTTAAAAGAACACAACAGCAAAAGGATTAATTGTGTTCACTGGTTTATCATAGTTTTTGTGTGTATGTTATATATGTTTTATCTTAATCAAAAAAATTACGCGCCTTGTGTAATTGTAAGTTTAGTGGCTTCCCTTTTTTTTCCTCTTATTTATAAAGGGAAGTAATAGGTGTTCTATTTTATTAAATGCGTTTATCCCATTGATGAATGTAGATCGAAAAATACCATGAATTCTGTTTTTTTTAAATTACACACAATATGTCTAGATAGTCCTTAAAGCTTTTAAACCATTGCTTACATATTTTGAAACTTTTTAAAAAAATTTCTTATAAATTTATAATTTTGACATGCATAATAATAATGATATTCATTTATTGTTTTGGATGCCTACATAGGTCTATATCTTTAAATTGAAGTCATCAAAATTTCCTGTTACTTAAAATTGTACTTTATTATTCATTTAACTAGCACCATTCTTGGTTTCAATTCATGCTAAGTTGTTCACTATCTAGCTAGATGTGTATTGATAGAATAATTTATATGTTTATAACTTTTCTAGCTAGATGTGTAGTGTTGTTCAATATATGCAACACACTGTCTTAAAAAATTTTTTTTTAATCTTAACTTTTTTTTTCTTATAAAAAAATAAATCTTTTTTCTTAGCTTTGACTTGTCCACAACAAATGTTGTCTTGTTGCGCTCAATTCAAATGATATTCAATAAATAAGTAAAATTTGAATGTTTCTAGGTTGCTGAGAGGGATATATTAATGCTTAAATGTAGGTTCAATGTGACTCAGGATGGCTGCCTGATCATGTGGTATAAGGACCATTGTCCAGATGGTACCAGGTTAAAACCCTGCCCAAAGCCATCCCCCCTCTCCTATCATGCTGTAGGTTTGTGTTAGGGTGAAATAGTTTTCAATTCTGAAAAACATCAGAAATGTAAAACAAAACATGTTATATACGACTCCACAGCAAGCATTGACATCTTTTGATGAGATAAATTAAATTTTTTGATCAAACAGACATTTATTGTAAGCCTTTGATTGTAAAAGGTTAATTTTAAATATCTAACAAGACACAAAAATGATCAATAAATTTTATTTACAAATTTATGTGGATCTAAGAAATATATTTTCAAAAGCCCCCTCAGAATGTCTGTGAAGTCTAGGATTTTGAATTTCAGAATTTTTATTATGCCCCTGATCCACCAAACTCTAATGGTACCTGACATTTGTTGGGTAAAGTAAAAATAGTTGGTCACTGTGCTGACCTCATGACATTCTTGTTAAGTGTTGGCCATAGAAACATGACCTTATCATCTGCTTTACAGACCAAAAGATCTAAAAAGGGTACTTTAACAACCAAAACAATTTTGTTTTTAAACTGACACTGCGAGAATATAACAGAAGACCAACATGGCCTATAATGTGCTGATGTGCGAAAAACCCAAAACATCAAACATCATATCAAGTTATATTGGATAGTTTTTAATAAAATTGTCAACATATTCTAAAACATGGATCAAAAGACAAGATTTTTTTTTCAAGCAAATTGTAAACAGAAAGAAGAAATATAACATAATTGTTTTCTATTTTCTGATATTCATATGATAATGAATATAATAAAAGTTTTTTTTTTATTTTCTTAATGCAAAGAAGTAAAAAAAGAAATTAAAGGGAAATGAAATTTTTAAACTCCACTGGAATCTAGTTTTGTAAACTCCACTAACATCTAGTTTTGTAAACTCCACTGGAATCTAGATTTTAAACTCCACTGAGATGTAGATTTTAAAGTCCACTGGGAGAGTATCAAAGTATCAAGAAACAAGGGCATTCACTGCTTCAGCACCCCCCCCCCCCCACCCCCATATTTTTTCTTACACTAAAACTAAATGTTGATAGCGCCAAGAAATCCTAATGTACTAAAAACCTACATCAGGTCAATTTTTTCTCTAGCATTCAACAATGATAAAAAAAATAAATAAATAATTAAAAATAGTAGTAAAATAATGAGTTAACATCTGATTAAATTATAACAATTAATTGTACATAAAAATATTCTCCACAGAGTTTATTAAAAAGTTGTCACAACATAGACATTTATATACTAGACATAACACTTGAAATGTGTCTACAAAGTCAACATAACCTTCATTTCAACGAAGTCTACATCAGAGGATCCAAGTGAATCACTTTCTAGATTCATATTGTAAAATTGAAGAGTAAAAAGTAAACAAGCAAAATATTTAAAAATCCTAAAAAAAACAAACTTATCTAAGAGGAAGAACTCCATAGTGACAGCTATATCCTCAATATTCAATAAAATAATTTATTACCAATAATTCATTGACTAACTGAATAATATTTTGTTAGGTACAATAGATAATTGTTTTGTGTTTCAACTTAATCCGAGAATGGTTGTGGGAGAAATAATGTTAACAATTATCTAAGGGGACCAAACCCTACAGATTTAGCCATACCTAAAAAACTGAAAGATTAATTTCCCTTGTTGGTATAAAAATGGTACAAAATAACCAATTACCAGTAATTGACTTCTTAGTTATTTTTTTTTTTTATCGATTCATATCTTTTGGAGAACTTGATACTTATTCGTTTATGATTCCTTATACGTTGGTAAAGACAGAAACCTGACAAAGGTTTTGGACCTTTCTGACTTAAATACAGTATTTTGTATTGTAATGGCTTTGTTCCAAGATTACCAGCTGTGACCTAAATATTTGTTCACGTCTGCCCACCTTCCCATAGAGATGATGTGAAAACTATTGACCAATGAAATAATTTAGATTGAAAAACTATCAATACAACATTTACATACTTAAGGAGGCGCTGTGGCTGAGTGGTAAAGCACTTGGCTTCTGAACCGATGGATCCTGGGGTCAAAGCCTGGGATTTTTTATTTCAGGATGTTTAGGGTGCCTCGGAGTCCACCCAGCTCTAATGGGTACTTTACATTATTGGGGAAAAATTAAAGGCGGTTGGTCACTGTGCTGTCCACATGACACCCTCTTAAACCAAGGGCCACTGAAACAGATGACCTTTACATTATATGCCCCATAGATCGCAAGGTTTGAAAAGGGAACTTAAGATACTTTAGGGCTTAATAAAATACTATTTGGCCTTCAATCTAAACCTCATAGCTGCTGATGAAAACTGGTAGCGGTCTTTACATGTGATGTTCCAACTATAAATAACAAATTTCATCATATGATAAACCTAAACATGTACATTAGTGTCATACACGCATAAATTGTAAAATCTGATATAAATTTGATGAAAAAAAAAAAAAAAAAAGAAAACAGAAGAAAAGTACAAATATATAAACAGGGTGATAACTGTCATGTAGAACCAATATAAAAGGTAAATAAATAACAAACTAATATCACTAGTTAAGCTTTATACAAACAAAACTATCCACCACCTAATGGATCTTTAGAGGGATTTTAATTCCCAAAAGTATAACAGTGAGAAATTGCTAATGAAGGAAATAATTTCTTAGAAATATTTTATTGTAGAAATTGATTTTGGCCTAGTCCAGACTTATAAAAAAGGCTTCTTTATGCCCAAAATTACCTTATTAAGATATAATAAAGTCTTTTGTTGTAATATAAGGACTTGATAAGTTGGTGTATTTAAGAGTTATTAGAATGAAAGAAAATGTTGTTTTTTTAGTGATGCCCAACATGATAAGGGAAGTAAGAGAAAATGTTGATTCCATCTTGCAAAGATGACAAGGGAGTTAAAGCAAGAAATGTTGATTCCATCTTGCAAAGATGACAAGGGAGTTAAAGCAAGAAATGATGATTTTCAAACAAAAATATCACCATGGAAGTTGGCTTCAAGAAATAACATCAACGTCTGCATCAGCCTATTCACAGTTTGGTCATCTATGCAGATATGCTGTAGTGCCGTAAAACTCAATTCTTAATAAGGATTACAAATAACAAATAATCTGTATGTTTTTTTTATTTTGGTACGGATAATTTTAAATAAACATTTTTTTGTACATATATACAACAAAAATAATTATTGAATCATGATAAGAAGACAATGTGCTCCAATGAACATCAGACATCTATGGAATGAAGTTAAAGAAAGAGAAATGCCAGGAACTTGCCATTCAGTTAGTAATCACCTTTTTTTTTTCAATACAGAACTGAGTTTAGACCTGTGATCACTCTTTTTCTGCATTTTTTTTTAAACCATAAAAAAAAAACAAAAAAAACAAAAAAAACAACAACAACATATATTGTACATGCATACAAGCTAATGTTCAAAATACATTTTGTTTTTGACATCATTTGTACATTATCATGATAAGCGATCAAAAAATATAAACAAAAAAATATTATGTATGATACAGTTTAATTTTTGTCAATTATGCCTAAAGTTGATAAATAAATAAATATTTTTTATTATGTCAAGACTGAACAAAATATAAAAACAAAAATTTTTTTGGAGCCTACAAAAATGTCCGTTACAACATTGTCCCAAAAATAACCAACAAAAACACTGTTGGGACAGAGCATCATAAGAAATACGCCACTCAAACTAAATCATCAACTTCTGATGCTTATAACAAATAAAGAGTAGCATTGTTAACTACAATTAGAGAAAAGAATTAAATTGTCAAAAGTAACATTTATCACTTGTCGGGTTGCTTTGTGTTTCTCAGTAATGACTGTTAACACAGCACAGGGATTTTCTGAATAAAGAGTTGTCAACTGTCTCATAGCTTAGCACAATGCGTACTTCAAATAAGTACTTTACAGTCTACACTGGTTTCTTTGGTCATGATTTGTCAAGGGATGAAGAATGTACAAGCAGCGATGACATTACGAAAGATTTGGAGTCCCTGGAAGCTGAGTCTGCTGTACAGATTCATCGTGTTCTTTCTCCACAATAATGCGTAGTCGGATGATACCAGATCTGCGTGATGGATCAATGATCAAAATTTAAGTTTTTAATTCCAGACATTTTAGTTTGGTTTAAATTAGGCGACAAGCAAAAGATATAAGCAGCCATAGCTCTTTTTTAAGGATTCAACAAGACAGCAAGAGGAGTGAAATGTTTTTTTTATACCACAAGTGTTTGACTAATCCAAATAGAACACATTGTGATATAAAGCAAGCATAAGCTGCCTGGTCGTGCGGTTTGCACGCTGCACTGCCGTTCAGACTTATCAATGGTCTCATGTTCAAACCCTGCCCACTCCTATCCCCGTCACAATGCAGGAGGTTTGGACAAGGAAGTAAGTTATCTTCAGCTTTGAAGAAACATCCAAAACACGTAAAACAAACAAAACACAAACAAACATAAGCTTGCAAAATCTTGGATGCTGAATGAAGATCTAGAGAGGAGAATCCTAGCATTAGAACTGAAATACTGAAAAATTCTAGGTATGATTTACAAAGACTGTATCAAAAATAAAGAGATTAGAAACAGGATCAATACAGATATTGGACCCCACTGTAAAAAACAACACAAGCTTTACTCTATGGTCCTCACGGCTCAGTTCCTGGAAAAAGAAGAAAATGCAGACAGAGAAAGCGATGGGAAGACAACATAAAAAAATGGACGAGCCTGTCAGTGAATGAAATTCTATCCAAGGCAAAAGACAGAGACAAATGGAGAAAGATGTTCCACAGCCACAGCTCAACAGACTTTGGGGTTAAACAGACTAAGGGATAGGTAAAGGTGAATTTCAGGTATCCAATAGAGATTTGTCCTAAAAATCTTCAGTCTTCACTGGGATTCCTGTGGATGCTGAAACAACAGAAAGCAATGGGTAGACAACATAAAAGAATGGACTGTCATTAAAAGAAATTCTAGGTAAAAATCAGAGGAGATCGGAGAAAGATGGTCAACAAGTCTGAACAGTTCAAGAGACTAAGGGATAGGTGAAGGTGATATAAAGCATGTGATATGTTTTACCTTTCAATCATAATCCACAGCACAGCAGCTCCAAGTTCTTTGAGGATAATAATGGCCAGGTAAATCAGGATCAACTGACTAGTTTGTAGAATTATGTTTTGTAAACAGTTTAAAGTTGCCTCCATCTGTTTGTCTGACTGAAAACTTTTCTCAGAAACATCTCTGGAGTGAGACAACATGATTAATAGCAACAACTATACTTTTTTTTTTATAGACTTGATAATAATCAAGAGATTGTAATTTTTAACAAAATTAAATCTATAAAAAATCATTTTATTATATCACAAATGGTTAGTTGTTTTAAGAAAGTGACAGGATAGTTGGTAGATAAATGAGTTAGGATTTAGTTTCTATATATAATGTTTCCAATGCATACATCTCAAATAGCTTTTGACAAGCAGTCAAACTTCTAACCTTCATGAACTGTTTTCACTAACAGGAGAAGGGGCAAAGGCGTGTAACTGGCACCTAAACCAGTATGCATCAGGCAGGAGTAGGCTATCCACCTAGGAGAAGGAAAACTCCGAATTCAAACTTCTGCTGCTTTGCAGCCATACCCAAACATAAGAAAAGCTTTGAGAGTCAACCCATAAAAAAAAAAGGAGTGGATACCACTAGGCAGTTTGCAGAACACAGTGTTACACCCTGGCAGAGCCTGCGACGCTGCTGACCCCAACTATATGGGCATTTCCTATTCCTTTGGATACATCATCTGTGTTAAAGGGGGAAACTGCGGTGTGAGCAACATCGTTCCATTCATAGCTAATGAGTGATATGGAAATTGTGCTTTAAAAGTAGCAGTCTGTGCTGTACGCTTGTAAAATAAGCCCTTACAGTAATTAAAGTTTACTCTTTAATATGTAAGAATAAAATTTGTAATGCAGAATTACAAAAAAGGTAGCCATATTGTTAACTTCATCCATACCTTCTGTACAGCTGAGCAACCACTGGTTGAAATTTACATGTTGCAAGAACTGTGCCCCTTACATCATTCAGGTTGTCCCTAGAATCATTGCACTTGGTGGAGACTCCAATAGCTTTCAAATGTTCACAGTACAAGGCAGAATTCAAGCTCTGGAAACAAAACAAAAAAAAAAGGACTTATGCTCATATGCAAGCAAAGACTAGATTGATGAGCTGTCACTGAAACATTTCAAGTCATGATGAATACCAACCAAGTGATCAAACAGCAGTTAGAGTGAGTTAGTTTTCTCTTTGGTGAGGGTTTTTCTTTGGTCAACACAAACAACTAATCACCAATACACTCTCTCAGCTTAAGTCCATGTACCAGCTGGATGAATTCCAGTTTCTGAACTAGAACTTAAGCTTCTTAAGTGACATGACACCAGCTGATCTCTGCCATGAAGATTATATATGTCTGAATATGCAAACATCTTGGAGGCATGCAAATCTCTACTGAGCATTCATACCTCACTCAACTTCACAGATTTGAATAAAATGGTCATCTGCTCCAAGCAACAACTTATAAACTCCTTTGCAATACTATCTGTAGTTTCCATGCAGCCTGTAAACTAGAATATAGTCACTGTTTGAGACCAAAAGAAAATCCACCTTTAAGGACAGATGTAGAAGGCAAAAAGAAAATCCACCTCCGTTGACAGAAGAAGGCAAAAAGAAAATCCACCTCTGAGGACAGATGTAGTTTCCATGCACCCTGTAAACTAGAATATAGTCACTGTTTGAGACCAAAAGAAAATCCACCTTTGAGGACAGATGTAGAAAGTGAAAAGAAAATCCACCTCCGTTGACAGAAGAAGGCAAAAAGAAAATCCACCTCTGAGGACAGATGTAGATGGCCAGAAGAAAATATTAATTGACTACCAGCAGACAATGGTTATGTCTGCAATGGATGTGGCAAAATATGTAGATCGCAGCTGGGGCTGTGTAGACACTTGAAATACTGCACTACTGCTTAATCTTCAGACTCGAAGACAAGCCTTAGAGCCAAAGTTTTCTTACAACATTCATTCTAAGTTGTCTTCTTGCTTCTTTGCTTTCCCTTTCCAAAACACACACAATGCTTAAAGACAACCTGCACCCTTTAAACCACTGGTACATCAGATTGTAAAGGATGAGGTTGTCTCCTTTCCATTAGGACTAAAACAGAAAGATTTAAAAACTCCATTATCCCACGTTCAGTCAGAGTGTTGCAAGGTTATCTGTTGTCGAGAAGTACATTATAGTCTAATTCATAAAGCGCTGGTTGCGAGTGTGTTTGTGTCTTGTGTGTGAATGTTGTTCGTATTCGCATCTATAGTGTTACTGCAATAGTTAAGCTGAGGTGATCAATAGTAGCTAAACTGAATTTTCATTTGATTGGATCAATACAGAGGATCTTATCTT